AGAGGCTGGGAATATTGTGGCGAGTAACTCCCCTCCTGACTCCTCAAAGCCTGTCCCACCATCTACAAGGCACAACTCAGGAGTGTGATGGAATACTCCCCACTTGCCTGGATGGGTGCAGCCCCAACACTTAAGAAGCTTGACACCATCCAGGATAAAGCAGGCCGCTTGATTGGCACCACATCCACAAGCATCCACTCCGTCCACCACCGACACTCAGTAGCAGCAGTGTGTACCATCTACAAGATGCACTGCAGAAATTCCCCAGAGATGCTCAGACAGCACCTCCCAAACCCACAATCATTTCCATCTCAAAGGACAAGGGCATCAGACATATGGGAACACCACCACCTTCAACTTCCCCTCCAAGCCACTCACCATCCTGACTTGGAAATAGATCACCGTTCCTTCACTGTCACTGGGTCAAAATCCTGGAATTCCCTCCCAAATGGCATTGTGGGTCAACCTACAGCAGGTGGACTGCAGCGGTTCAAGAAGGCAGCTCACCACCACCTTCTCAAGGGGCAACTAGGGACAGGGCAAGAAATGCTGGGTCCAGCCAGTCACGTCCACATCCCACAAATGAATAAAATAAAACATCCCACCCAGCTACCCTGCATTTCCCATGGCCAATCCACCCTAACCTGCACACCTTTGGACGATGCCAAGAAGACAGAACACCTGGAGAAATTGCAAACTCCACACAGACCGTCTCCTGAGGCTGGAATCGAACCCAGGTCCCTAGTGCTGTGAGGCAGCAGTGCTAACCGCTGAGCCACCGTGCTGCCCCTTGGTTTTTGGCTAGGATTCTACTAACTCAAGTGGGTTGCAAAAGGCCCAGTACAAAGACAAATCCTTCCGGCTTTTACAGACCAATCCTGATGCAAAGCCACCTCTCATGTGGATTTTATCTGGATGCCATGGATAGGTTTTTAAATCTTTTAGGAACTTTCTGCTTTACCTTGAGAAGAGTCCGAGACAGAAAAGGCTGCAGATCTCCTCGAGTCTCTGACAGCCTCTGGTCGGGATAATCCAAGTTGGTCGCTTGGTGCCAGGCACCCAGTGTCCTTGTGCAGAGTCAGGGGAGTGTAAGCTGGTACGGACGATCTAGTGCCATAGTCCCACTGGGAACCACCACCTCTGCTGCTGCTGAAGCTGTCAAAACTGGGTCGAGACGGAAAGCTGTTGACACCACCTCCAGCATCGATGGAGCTTTCCTCGCTCTCTACGGGCTGGCACAGCCTGCTGCAGGAGGAGAGGGAGTGCACCAGGCAACAGTCACTGGGTCCATGCTCCGCTAGCGACGGGTACACAGAGGGTCCGGGGCGGGTCTGCGAGCAGCTGGGGGGCAGCGGCTGGTGTAACTGCGAACCGAATCTGTACGTGTCCTCCACGGGACTGAGCGAGGTGCTTCGCAATCTCTCTGCCAGGGTGTCCACGGGGTCCGGCCCCCCACCGAGCCGACAGCCGGCAGGATCAGGCGGACCTCCAGCTGGGCCTGAGGCCTGGCCAAGATCCCTCAGAGCCTTCAGCTGTTCGTAAACCTGCGGGAGGGAAAGGAACGTGAGGCACTGCCCATCGGGTACTGTTCCCCACCCCTCCAACAACGCCCCCTCCCCGTCTCTGCCGCCCCCTCCGACCCCCGCCCCGTCTCTGCCGCCCCCTCCGACCCCCGCACCCCGTCTCTGCCGCACGCCCCCTTCCCGCCCCTACACCCTTCCCCGTCTGTGTCACCTCCTCTGGCCCCCTTTGAGAGGTGCTCCACAAAACCCAGCCTCTTGGACGAACCTCATGGCCGGGGTGTGGCGGGGGAGTGGTGGTGGAGGGGGAAGGTTGTCTGACGAAACAGCCTGTAGTTTGGCTTTAGGTGTGAACAGACTTCCTGACCCTGCCCTGGGGCAGTGTTTAAATACAGACCACAGCTGCCACGCTGTGAAAGCGAGGGAGATTTCTAGAGGTGGTTGTTGTGTTTAAAAACACACCGAAAGGCCGGGGTGTGGGGGGTTTTTGGGGAGTGACTGCTCTCGTTACCTTGGTCATTTTCGGTCTCTTCTTTCTCCGATGCTCTAGGCACTGACAGGCCAGAGAGCAGAGGTGTAGGGGCAGGCGGCCTGGGCACACTCCTGCCTTCCCGTCCAGGTGGCTGCAGATCCGAGCAGCGGCCCGCATGCTCTGCCCCTCAGCCTCATCGTCATCCTCCTTGACAAGATCCTTCTGCAGGGCAGGAAGACAGCCTCAGGGCGGTGCATTACACGCTCAAGACGGAGCCTCCCACCCCTCGGTAAAGGGGTGGCACACGAGGGCAGGACTGACTTGAATCACTGAGCACTCCCAGCAATGTGGCTAACCGTACAGACCAGCGATACCCACCACGTACTGCACGGAAACAGACCCTTCGGTCCAACCCGTCCATGCTGACTCAGATATCCTAAATTAACCCAGTCCCATTTGGCCCATATCCCTCTAAACCCTTCCTATTCATGTCCCCATCCAGATGCCTTTTAAATGTTGTAAACATACCAGCCCCCACCATTTCCTCTGGCAGCTCGTTCCACACACGCACTACCCTCTGCGTGAAAAAGTTGCCCCTCAGGTCCCTTTCCCCCTCTCACCTTAAACCTATTCCCCTCTAGTTTTGGACTCCCCACCCCTGGGGGAAAAGACCTTGGCTATTCACCCTGTCCATGCCCCATGTGGTTTTATAAAACTCAGCCTCCGATGCTCCAGGGAAAATAGCCCCAGCCTACTCTATAGCTCAAACCCTCCAACCCTTGTCAATCTTTTCTGAAGCCTTTCAAGTTTCACAACATCGTTCCTATAGCCAGTCCTTCATCCTCACCTCCCAGGGGCAGTCAGTAAACGTACTGTTTCTGTTTGAGGGACTGTTCTGGCGAAGGGGCAGATACCTCTGGCTGGGTTACCCTACACCACCGCTCCCCCCCACCCCTCCAAAAACCTGACAAAGTGGGGGGAGGGGGGGCAGCACCTCCAGCCAGCTGTTACCATCACTACACCCCCACCCCCATCCCCCGAAACAACAGGGAGGCCAGGCAGAACCTGGACTCACCAGGTACTTGGAGCTGGCTGATCTGTCACTCTCCAGGGCTTTGCGTCCAGTCAGGATCTCCAACAGGACCTGTCGAGGAATGAGGGAGGAGGAAAAGGGAAGAGGTCACTCGGAAAAGTGTTTATGACACTGGCGTAACGTCACTGAGAAGGAGGACTGCACAGCGACACAGATCGGAGAGCAGGGGGAGGCCATTCAGTCCCTCAATCATTAGCACCACAACTGATCAGACTGCCCTTCCTCTCTACACTAACTCCCACCCCCAAGGCAAGTCCTCACACCACCAACAACTTCCACCCCACTCCCTGCCCTCCCCACACACACACACACACACACACACACACACACACACAC